AATGGCCTTTTTCTTTACAATAGGCGCATTGATCTTTATCTAAGTGCTGCCTGGGAGGGCGTGTTGTTTGAGTGCCTTCTGGGGGTGGCTGTTCTTTCTGGACTATAGTGGCCAGGACTTTAGTCATTTTCCCTGTGGCCTTGATCTGTCTCTCTTCTGGGGTGTCCCTGTTGTTGTAGACCTGTTGTGCTATACGGAGCAGATCCTGGATCTGTTTACCTTCTAAATCCTCTAGCCTTTGGAGTTTTTTCTTTGTGTTTTTTTTTTTTTTTTTTAATTTTTTTTTTCAACGTTTATTTATTTTTGGGACAGAGAGAGACAGAGCATGAACGGGCGAGGGGCAGAGAGAGAGGGAGACACAGAATCGGAAACAGGCTCCAGGCTCTGAGCCATCAGCCCAGAGCCCGACGCGGGGCTCGAACTCACGGACCGCGAGATCGTGACCTGGCTGAAGTCGGACGCTTAACCGACTGCGCCACCGAGGCGCCCCTGGAGTTTTTTCTTAATGTCAGGAGCTGCTTGATTTACAAAGGACATAACGACAGCAGCCTGGTTCTCAGGGACTTCTGGATCCATGGGGGTAAACTGCCTAAAGGCTTCCATTAATCTCTCTAAGTAAGCAGCTGGACTCTCTGCCTTTCCCTGTATGACCGAATATACCTTAGCCAAATTGGTGGGCTTGCGAGCTGCAGCCCGGAGACCCGCCATCAGAGTCTGGCGATAAATGAGTAGCCTTCCCCTACCTTCTGCCGTGTTGTAGTCCCATTCGTCCTGTGGAGGCCTGGTTAGGGGGAAAGCCGCATTAATGAGGTCAGGGTTAGATGTCGGCCGACCGTCCTCTCCGGGAACCAGCTTTCTTGCTTCTAATTGGATCCTCTCTCGCTCCTCTGTGGTGAACAGGATGCGGAGGAGCTGCTGACAGTCGTCCCAGGTGGGCTGGTGGGTGAACAGGACACTGTCTAAAAGAGCTATTAGGTCTTTAGGGTTTTCAGAGAATCGAGCGTTCTGTGTTTTCCAGTTGTAAAGGTCACTGGTGGAAAAGGGCCAATACTGGAGTCGGAGGTTGCCTGTTTCATCGGGGGGTCCTATTTCCCACCGGGGTAGGGCCACAGTGGAGTCGGGGAGGCGAGGGTTTGGCTCACGCTGGGTGTGCCCACGGTTCCGCCGGCTGGCCCCTCGCGGTTGGTTTCGTTTTCAATGGGGCCCGGCGCGGCTGCTGCCTCCCGTCCTCCTGGTTCCGGCACAGCTGCCGCTTCCCGTCCTCCCAGTTCTCCTAGGGGGGGCAACTAGCGGGGCGACTGGTGGGGCGGCTGCTGCGGGCAGGGCCTGGGGCACGAGGGGAGGGGGATGATAGGGTGGAGGGTCGAGGGATAGTAGGTCCTGACTATCGGGCAATATGGGATACAAGGGCGCGGATGGCGTCTTTGGTTTTGGGGGATCTGCAGTCCGCATGGCAAGGACCTTACACGTTCCTGAGGACAGGAAGGGGGCCAACCAAGGGGGTGGATTTTCCACCAAATCTTGCCATACTAGAATGTAAGGGAATCTGATCTGGGTGTCCCTCGCGACCCGGTAGAAAAATCTTTGACTTCACCTTAGCAATTATAGGGAGGCAGAAAGTTCCTTCGGTTGGCCATCCAACGCCCAAGGTTGGCCATTCGGAGCGGCAGAGGGTTATTAATTTTCCCCGCCGGATGTCTAAACTCAAATTCTGTCCTCTGGTTCTAACATCCCTGAAGTTGGCAACGAGGAGAGAAAGAGGAGTGCTTTGAGATTGGCCCATCTGTATCCTGGAGGTGGAGGAAAGGATTAAAAGGAGAAACAGTAAAGTTATGAGGATTTCTGGCTGGGCCAGGCCAGGTCACCTGTGAAAGAGAAGGAGTTTAACACTTAAAGGTTATAGAATAGAGAACACAACACTTAGATCGCTAGCGCGTTTCGGGTGTCTGCCACCCGAACAGAAAAATTCCGATGGGCCCAAAAAGGTGCCCCAGACGGGTGCCAGTGGACGTCTCCTACTGGACCCAACTGAATGCCCTATAGCGCGTCCGCCAGGGCTGTGTCAGTCACAGATACAGATCCCGCGCGGGGGAGCCAGAAACGAACAGACCAACAGAAACAGACAGAGCCGGCTCACTTACCGATCGGTCTTAGGGACGACCCGTTGACTTGGGGTCTGGTGGGTTTGGGGGGATCCCGGATGAGCCCCCAAATGATATGCCCCGATTCGAGAGACCCCCCGAAAACAAACCACCAGAGTCCAGAGTCAAAGCCAAGCGGCAAGGGTCGTTTATTGCAGGTTCGAACCCGGTCCTCCGCGCACTCGTTGCCGGTGA